CATCACAAACACACACGCTCCCTATGCACGGCTCGTCTGCGAACAGCGTGTGCCCTCGTGTACCAGCGTGCATCACAGGGCAGGTTCAACTTCCTAAACATCCTACCTGTCCATCTGCCTCACGTCAGCACGCCGCCCCTCGCCTTTTCACGCTCTCGCTCCTTCCTGCGTACAGCCAACACAAGCCCCTCCCACAGTGCGGCTGATTAGAAGAGCAAGACCAAACGTGAAACAAAAACGAGTCTAAATTTGTGTTCCAGTGTTGGCACAAAGCAGTTCTACAGCATAGAGCGGATCTACAGAACAGACCTACTGCCACATTTGGCTGAAGTTTGTCTAACAAAAGTGACAAATGCATCTGTGTTTGTCACGATGTGCGTTTGGTTTTGGTAAACGTGCAGAGGCTGGTAAATATCACTGCAAAACCAGAAAAGAATGTAACTCCAGTTTGGAACTTTAAAAAACAGGTTTAAAAATCTTACCTACTTCTTTCACTTTTTTCACAGTTTTGTGTAAAGTGCCAGAGGAAGTTCTCTTAAAGAAGAGGTTCTCAAACTGTGGGTGAGGGTCCAAAAAAGGGGCACAGAGTGTCTCAGTGCAGTTTGCTTGGCTTTGTATTAGGTAGATCTTTATGACTTGGTCATTTTGTAAGTAGCTCACATGATGAAAAAGTGTGAACAGCCCTGATCTGGTGTATTCTCCATCAGTCTCATAAATCTGCCCCATCACCAAATCTTCAACCATAGTTGGCTGAAGATTCACAAAGCTCCACAAAGGATAAACATTCTAACATGAAGAATTTATCCACAACAAGGGAAGAAAGACGAAAATGTAAAGGAGACAACGACGCATTAGTAAACTACTGAATGAAACTAATGTTATGGTCATGAAGTAAAACAGAAGGAACTTGTTCAGTCAGACTTATTCCACAATAAAAAAAAAAAAAAAAAAAAAGTGAGACATCTCTATGACGATACCGTTTTGTTCAGTGTGTCACTAATGCGTGGTTGTTGTTTCCTTTAAGTTTTCGTCTTTCTTCCCTTGATAGTTGTGGAGAAATGCTTCATTGAAGAATATTTATTTTACCTTGTTCAGTGTTTCCCACAGAAAATTGGTTGTGTGGAGATTCCATGCGATGGTCATAGTTTTGCAAGGATTTACGCGGTTCAGAGGGACGTAGTCAAGGCAGGGGGCACAATATTAAGACAGTGAAACCATAGAGAAAACTCAGGCATTTACTCGTCCACCCAAAAGATTAAATAGAACCGGAGCAAAAATGTAATATCATATACAGAAATACCCTGACTGTCCTCCAATAAAACACACATCAGGGAAACAGGGAGAGCATTGAGGCCACGAAAGAAGGAACACAGAACAGAATGCGAGAAGAAAACAGCAAAGGCGAAACAACAAAACACAAATCAGAACAGGAACAACTCAAATCGTCCAAAAAGAGAGAAGCACATTCTGGACTGGGACAAGCAAACGTCATTGGGACAGAGGAAAAAAAACATCATCGCTGGATTAAAAGAGACAATCGAAATACGGAAAGGTGTCCACAGAACAATAAACCTCGATGAGGGTCTTTTTTTTTTACTTTCACACACCTGGGATTCTTTCCTGAGGAAGTGGGACTGCAGGTGGCGCTGTCGTCCTGCCTCCACCGGTAGGAAGGCAGCGCCAAAACCTGTTTAAATCATCTGAGCGACATGTCACAGCAACATCACGTGACTCTGAGGAAGAGCGCAGGGAGCAGTCGAAACCATCAAATAGGAAAACAAACTCTTGGTCTGAAAAAAGAACCCAATAACCTAAGGCGGGGGGCAATCGTTAACTATAAAGTTCTGCGGCAAACACTGCTTTTTTGGTTGAAGATTTGGTGATGGGGCAGATTTATGAAGCAGCTGGAGAATAGGCCAGACATTTCCACACACATTCTGCCACAGAAAACCATTAACCAGACGTTCCACAACGCTTCAGCGAGACACTTCCAGCCGTTGTGAAAAAGGTCAACTCTGCAGCAAAGACCTAGAGTCACTTCATGTGGCTTTTCATCAGAGATTATTTGTCTATGACCAAAGCAAAGTGATTCATCTCCTTATCAAAACCTGGTCACATCTCAAACTTCAGCAGAGATGGTTCTGGTCAGGACTTGGATTGGAGACCGTCCTTTAGCAAGACACTTTACCGACACTGTTTTGAGTGTCCATGTACACTGGTGTGTTAGAGACAGTGTTTGTGGCCTGTTTAAAGCATGTGCTGGTTTAATGTTCTATTAGACCCGTCCTCCAGTGTCTCTGGTTAAACCTGTATTTGACCCGTCCTCCAGTGTCTCTGGACGGAGCGTCTGGAGCAGGTGGAGCAGCAGTGATCTCTTGTTTTTTTTTTTTTTTTCTCAGTTCTTGTCTCTGGAGATAAAAACAAATAGAAGACACAGAACATGAGGCTGAGACAGAAACTCTGCTACAGAACTTTTGGTTATTCCCAAACCTACACCCTCCTCCTCTCTCCTCCTTCTCTTTCTATTCCTCTTTCTCCGCTGCTTTCTCAGCCTCTTCTCTCCTTCTCTCTCCTCCTCCTCTCTCCTCTTGCTCCACCTCTTTCTCAACTTCCTCTCTCCTCCTATTTCTCCACCTCCTCTCTCCTCCTCTTTCTCTTTCTCCACCTCCTCTCTCCTCCTTTTTCTCTTTCTTCACCTCCTCTCTCCTCCTCTTTCTCCTCCTCCTCTCTCCTCCTTTCTCCACCTCCTCTCTTCTCCTCTTTCTCTTTCCTTCTCTTTCTCCACCTCCTCTCTCCTCCTCTTTCTCTTTCTTCCACCTCCTCTCTCCTCCTCTTTCTCCACCACCTCTCTCTCTCCTTTTCTCTGCTCCCTCTCTCTGCTCCCCTCTGACTTCTCCTCTCATGGTTCTTTATCTCCGTCCTTTGTCCCTCTCTCGTGTCTCTCAAACTGCAGATCGTGGCGTCCTCTGTGTGGCTAATGCCACGTTTACGACACCTTTATTACACCTTTACGGCACGTTTATGACACGCACAAAGCCCGGCCGCGCTTTATGTGCTCATTAAAGCGCCGCTAGCAGAGGCCGCGCCAGTGCTAATGCTAACGCTAATGCGAAGGTGGGCCGCGCGGGAAACGCCAATCAAACTCCAAATGAATCATGTTTCCACCGATGAGACAGATCGAGTCCAAACATTTAGAGCGGACGTCAAAAGGAACAAAAGAGGCTTAGTCAGAGGAGAGGGAACGTGTCAGATGCCCCGCTGTTCTTCTGTGTCCCTGTGTGTCAGATGCCCTCCCATCCTCCCGTATCCTGTGTGTCAATAGGCAAGTTTCATTGTTGACAAAAGCGTGCGTTGCATGCTGGGAATTATTTTGGTCAGCGGCAATAAAAACTAATTCAACATGACGGACGGAGCGAGAAAGCACGTAAAGGGAATTGATCCTGGTTATTTATCCACTCGAACGGCAGAGGACCCAAGACCATTTGACCAGAAATTGGTCATAAGCATCGACGGACGACAAATCACCCTTTTCAACCCCGACAGAGCCTGGACCAAACCAAATTTCTGGTCAGAATCGCCAACTACCTGGACAAATATTCACTTTGGTGATATCCACAATGACTTGGTGGAAACTCCTGGGCCATTCACAGCAGAAAAGATGAAAACCTCCAAGAGTCTCGATGTGTTGTTGAACTTGTTGGAGTCCACGGTTTGTTAGGATCTTCTACGTTTGCTCTGCGGATGTTTGAAAGTCGTTTAATTCACCGTTAGTGGTTCTTTACACTCAGAATACGAAAAAGACATTTTCCTTCTTCTGTGCATCTATTTGTGCATCCGATAATGCAGCAGGAATTTACCATTATCGGGGATAAATGCGTGAGGTTACGCACTGTGTTTGACGCTATCGTGTTTCTTGCCTCTGACCAAAATATTTCCCAGCATGCAACGCGGGCTTTTAATAACAATGACGTCAGCTGAAACTCGCCTATAGTGCGGTAAAATACGGTTATTGTGCATTCCTTGCTATTTTCATGTGAAAGATTTATTTGAGTCCAAATGTAATAAACCTCATGGAAATACAGGAAGTGATGTGGCTCTGTGCATTGTTCCTGACACCAGCTGTGTCCATGACTGACACCAGGAAAGTCATGGAGCCATTGCACTTTTTTGTTTTGTTTTTGTTTTGAGGTAATAAGGATATTTTGAGTTTACTTACAGACTTGATATTTTACACTTTTGTAGCTAAGACCCTAAATTAAGCATTTTTTATGTCCAAAAAGTTGTTTATACATGTTTACTGTGTGTTTTGTATGAAAGAGTGTGACATTATTTTCTTTTTTTTTTCATTTGTATTTCTGGTCCTGTAGTTTTTATTACAGCCGTATGCCACAATTACAGCAGAAGATTGTGAAATAACAATTTGTAGTGAAAAAAAAAGATGTATAACACTTCATTAGGGGGTAAAACGGGGAGTTTTAAACACAAAATTAAGAAAAAAATCCACATGAGGACAAATGTACTAAAATATTTCTCAGGTCTGGAAGAGTTAACAGGAAGCCAGTAGAAAGACGCAAGAATTGGGGTCATGTTCTCTCTTTTTTTGGTGTTTTTTTGACTCACTGTAGTCGGTAAAGTGCGTTACAGTCGTCCAGGCATGATGAAATAAAGTGTCAGATGCCCTCCCATCCTTCTGTATCCCTGTGGTGTTACACTGAGATGGGGGCAGGTTAAATGTCTAGTAAATCTGCAGACGTTGTGGTGTGTCAGATGCCCTCCCCGGACGTTGTGGTGTGTCAGATGCCCTCCCCGGACGTTGTGGTGTGTCAGATGCCCTCCCAGATGTCGCGGCGCATTTGGACAAACGCAGTGGGATCACGACGCTTATCACCGACAGAAATAAACATTTAAAAATACCACTTTCTAAATAAAGTCAAATCATTTCTCTTCTGGTTCGTGGAGCGTGAAGAATCTGGGACTGTTCAGACTCTGAGCACAAGCAGATGGACCAGTCCCCCGGGTCAAAAAGCAAACACTCCGCTCCGAGACATCAGGAGTCTAACCCACAACCGCCCGAAGAGAGGATGCCTCAGGACCTCTACGCCAAAGGAACACAGAGAGGACGTGTGCGCTTCGGACGCGAGACCCGGTCCAGTTATAGACCTGGACTGAGGCCGGGACTCCTCTGCAGTCTGGAGTCTGGAGTCCACTTTGAGTCCACTGCATTTGGCCCGTTTCCAGTGTACTCACCTCATCCCTGGCTCTGTGTCAGCCCGCTGCCTCTCTGCTTTCTCTACCCCTCCTCCTCGCTCTCTCCTCTTCCTCTCGCTCTTCATCTCTCTCCTCTTTCTCCCTTGTCTGTGCTGCCGTTTTATTATCACTGTATATCTTGTATGAATCCTCTCCCTCTCCTCCCTCTCTCGTTTTCCCCGCTCTTTGAATTCATCTTGCACGTCATGTATTTTGTTCCATCCCCCCTCTCCTCATTCGCTTTCCCCTCGTCCTCTCTCTTTCTCTCGCACATTGTCGTACATTGTTGCACATTGTCGCTCTGTCTCTCTTTCTCCTCTTTCACGTCATGCACTCTCCTCTCTTCCTCTACTCTTTCTCTATCTCTTGCACGTGAGGCTTGACTCCTCTCTCTCTCTCTCTCTCTCACTCCCTTCTCCTCCCACTCTGTCCTCTCCTCTCTCTCTCTCTCTCTTTCTCTCTCCTCTGTATCCCTCGTTCACGCGGTGTACATTGTGTCTCTTGTTTTGTGGAGGTGTCTCTGGGGAGAACGAATGCGTCAGGCCTCACTGTCCTTTACACATATATATACACACACACACGCACACACGTATATATGGTTCCGGTCAGGCGGTAAAGGAGGGAAACAGGGGCAGATTTGTGACATTCAAATGTCTCTTATTCAGAAACTAGAGGGACTATTGAAATAAGTAAAGTATCAGAATGTAGGAAAGAGTTACACTCCAACAGGGTCAAGTTAAACCTGTGATTTTCTTTCAAGTTGTTGACAAAAAATTTAAAAACTCATGTTGGTAACGGAGGGAATGAAATATGCAGCACTTTTTGGGCAATAAATCCAAACAGTGATAACTCTTGGTTCTCACTTACATATCCTTAACAAACTGGTTTGAATATTTGCTTCATATAGTTTTCTACCATATGGTACAAGATTAGGTTGAAAAACCTCTTACTTTTTGACTCATGAGATTTTTTATTAAGAAAGGTCATGGTAACGGAGGGAAAAGTAACGGAGGGAAAACTGTACAAACAAGTAGAAGGTGCAGGATTTTACATAATTTGTCAACTTTTTTCTTCCGAATACTTTAATATTACTTCAAAATGAAAGGAAACTATTTCTATAAAATATGTCAGTCCTTCCAAGCAAATTTTTATCATTTTAAATACTTGTTTTTTTTTTTTTTTTAATCATGTCCCTTCATCAACAGTTCAAAGATGGAATAACACAAGATATGATGAAATACATCCATTTATTTGACATGATTTGCAGGTCTTTGAAGTTTGGGAAATAATTTTTGTTCCATGTTTCATACATGGTCTGTTTAAAACGTATGGAACTTTAGAACCAAAAATGGTACAGAAAAAAGGTCAACAGTTTCATAAACTAGAGTACATATGTATCTGTTCAATACATTTTTATATCAGATACATTAACTTGAATTTTTGGCCTTGATGTTTACTTCTGCTTGTCCGGGCCCTTATGCACCTGTATCTAGTTTATACACTGTAAAACCCTGTAGTCTGTTCTGTAGTTGTTTAGTCAATGAATCGAGTCAGTATGTTGATGATCAGGATTTCTATAGGACACAGGAGAAAGCAGAAGAGAGTGAGCTGAAGATTTGATATTTTTGGGCGTTTCTCTGTAAAAAGGCAGATTCAGTTCATGATTCACAAGTTTAATCTGTCTTTTTTTGTTTTGCGTGAGCTCCCCCTGCAGGTGTGGTCTTGTGAGTCCAGTTTGCGGCAGATACACAAACTATTTTTGGTGTTTGGTGTATTTCAGCTTGTCAAACCCTGATCCCGTCGCATCTCAGAAGTTAAAGGTTGTACAGAGGATTTTTTAAGGGAAAATAAATACAGCGACAGTCCTTTTTCAAATGTTGTGCATGTGTGACACCACCTTCCTCCTCCACAGCTCCCTCAGCAGAAACATCTCCTCCCACCTCCTGACTCTAGAAATCACGCTTGTTTACAGCCAGTGCGCGTTCAGATTTACTGTTGAAGTGACCTGTCTAGAAATAATTTAGCGACCGATGCGTCAGTTTTTAGACCCTTTGTCTGGTTCATTCGCACAATCGCTGGAAGAGATCTCTGAAGAGAATTACTTCAGTTTGGCTTTGCTCCTTTTCTCCTTCTCTTCTTCTTTCAGCGACATAAAAAACGGACTTTTTTTTGCGGTGAACTTGTCGTAGATTCTCATCCGCCATCGCAACAAAACTTTGTGTGAATTGTGAGGAAGCTACAGTTTGAAAAAGCCTCTAAGAACCGCTGCATAAACCATGTAATCCCTGCGCGCCGTTGAATCAGTTACACTAAAAACGTAGGGAGTTTGATTGACAACCTAACAGCCAATAGAAAATGAGGTAGCCTTGTTTTCTATTGGCTGATGTTTATCTGGTCTCACCACGTCCACAGTTGATAGATTTTCATTCTTTTCAACCTTTACGCAAAGCCGGGTCTGGTTCGCATTTGGATGGGAAAACTATGAAAATCAGGTGCCACAGGGGGGCGCTGTCACAAAAACTGCCATTATGAACTGCCTTCACCCACATTGCCTAGTATGAAAGTGTTGTGGGTATGAATGATGGTGGTGGTCAGAGGAGCTGATGGTGCAGATTGGCAGCCGTGCTTCAGTCAGTTCGGGTATGGCGTGAATGAATAATGATCTGTAAAGTGTCTTTGTGATAAATGTCTCTGAAAAGCGCAAAAAACAAAAAAAAAACAAAAAAAAAAACACAAAACTGTCCCATCTCATATAAAATAACTCTTTTCACATTGTATCTTCTGCACATAAACAAGCACTATTTGGGTTTTGGAACATCCATTACACAATAGTTCTGAAATCTTACTGATTTCTTGGAGACAGTCACAGACCAGGAACTATGAAAGGCCAACTATTGCTCCTCCCCCCGCCCGTCCTGAGAAAGCACAGGCTCCGCCCTCCAAACATGATGTAGGCGACGAGTGAGCCGCCCTTCCTCTGCCCATCTCAGGGAGGGAGGGGGAGACAGACGTGACCCTGATAGTGATAGAAATAAACTTTTATTCATCATGGAGATACAGCGCGTTCATGTGTTGGACCCGGAATCGGACAAGGACTTTGAGGAGCACGAAGCTCAAGCACCACGTTCACATCAAGTGAACATTACTGATTGGTAAAGTATTAATAAACTCTAGTAGATCAACTTATTATAACGTGTTCACTGCAGTGTAGAACAATGAGCTTATGCTGTCGCTTTTGTTTAGGTGTTCATGTGGGAATTATCAGTCGATGCGGGGAGGAGGCGGGGTGGAGGCGGTGAAGCGGGGGAGGGGGGCGGGTGTGAAGTGCTTTCTGCTACGTCAAACTCGTCATAGGTGTATCTGCCGTGTCATCGTTGTCGCAGCTTTCGTTCGTTGTCATGTGGGAGGGTGGCAGAAATATGCTGCAATTTGTAAAAAAAAAAGTCAAATCAATCTAAAAAAACACTTCAGTGACAAATACAAGGCCGACACATCACTCTTAGAAGGTAGAAAGCTCTGAAAAGTTGAAACAGGAGGTTTTCAGACTCTAGAATGTGATAACGTCATACTCCCAGATGGAGGCACACATTTTTAAAATTTTTTAAAATGAAACAAAAAAACAGTACTCTTAAACGGTGGCACGGTGCCTGAGTGGCTACCAAGAAGGTTTCAGGTTCGAGCCCTGGATCGCCAGGGCCTTTCTGTGTGGAGTTTGCATGTTCATCTATTGTCTGGCTGTGTTTCCTCTGGGCACTCTGGTTTCCCCCATCAACCCAAAACGTGCACCACAGGTAAAATCCTCCAGCTAAAGCAGCCCTGACCAAGCCCAAAAACAAGATCATGGAGATGGGTCCCTGGGCTCCACATGTGCTGCCCGCTGCTCCTGAAAGGATGGATGAAATGCACAGGACAATTTCCCTCCAGGGATAATAAAAGTACTACAAAACAAAGAATGATGTTGAGCTGCAGCAGAACAAGTATATGAGCACATAGACGAGTACACACACACACACACACGGACACTATGAACCTACTGCACCACTGAGACATTACACACATACAAGACACAAAGGAATAGAAAAGAAAGTACTACTGTTTCAATCACATTCTATTGGCTAAAGAAAGTGTTTTCATTATCATCAGTATTGAGTATCGAGTCTATTCCTTTCTGTGTGGAGTTTGCATGTTCTCCCTGTGTATGGTGGAATATTCAGCAGTTACAATGAACACTGCCAGAAATATTTTTGGATTTTTTTCAGACAATCTAACAGGTATTTAAACATCACACTGTCAGGAGCCTGTGATCAGTACGAGCGTTCATGGACCTGTTTAAGAGTTTGATTTTCAAGTTAAAGGTGAGAGTGAAACACTGTTGCTCCTTATGGTCAGATTGTGTTAAATAAAACTCAGATTAACGTTCGACTTCAGTAGAAGAGTTTCAGACAGAGCAGTGCCTGCAGTTACAGCACAGCCCAGGGAATTTTGATGACATCAGCTGCAAACAATCAGTAGTATATGACTCTTGTGTCATTGAGCACGACACTTGTGCTTTAGGTGTGTGAATGAGTGTGTTGACATGCACATCAGTATCCAGGTTATGATCGAGTTTTTTGAGTATCCCGGTTTCTTCATGGTGCATGTAAACACAGAATTCCGGTTTCAGTATCCCGGTTATGTCAGTATCCTGATTATTAGAAACCGGGTTACTGTGGCATGTAAACGCAGTATCCCGAATACTGCTACATAAAGTTGAGTGCACATGCGTCCAAAAGACAAACACTTTCCAGTCTTTTCACCGCAACAGTAGTGACATAAATCAAGTGACCAAAATAAATAAAGTGACCAAACGAGTGAAATGACGGTAGAATAAAAAGCTGCGCTAAACCTGCACACATACAATCTGCACTCATATGACCTGCACTCGTGTGGTCGCTGAAAAGCTAAAACATGAACTATCTCCTATATGATATACACACAGAACAGACTCACCATCATCAGCACCTCTTCTGTCACAAAA